AGAATAACTTTATTGTTTCTATTTATGGAAACTGACGGGACACCCTGCATCACTACACAGGCTTGGTGCTTGCAGCAGTTGTGGAAGACTGCTTAACATGAGCTGGGCTTGCTGGTCACAGTTGCCGTTGCTTAGGGCTGTGATTCTAATGTACCTGTCCACTCCCACATGTCACAATGGAACACTAACGCTTAGAAAGACGGAAAGGTGCGAGCAGCAGCAGCAACAGCAGCCGCAGCAGCAGCAACAACAACAAGGGAAATAGCAGCAACACGTGTAATGGCTGCTTCGACATTTCCAGTCATCATCATCATCATCATCAAAATCATCATCATCATTATCATCATCACCAGTTTCTACTTTTTTCCGGTTTGTTTGTTTGTTTTAGTATCCAGAAGCCATGAGTTGTTAACCCTTAGGCTCGGTATTATGGAGATCGCAACCTTTCGGTCTTGATTCCACTGTAAATACCGTAAATCTGGCAGAAAATGTGGCTTTCCTGCTTACCCCCGGAATTGAACCCGGACCACAATGAGTTCGTCACCCGGTCTCCGCGCAATCCGGTTTAGCCAACAACGCTAGAGAGCCGGGCACTTTTTTCCGGTAAACGTCGTGGGGACATTTACAGTGGAGTTGAGAAGGATTTGGGAAGGGGGGGTGGGGTGGGGGGGGGGGTGGGGTGGTATGTTTGTTACCACAAAGTTTCAATACTAATCGTGCATACCCTCCTGGTTCACGAGTCTGAAGCGGGAGAGGACACCTGTGCATCACATCCGCCCTCCCCCATCCCACTGGTCAAGAGGGAAGTGCCCACATCAACACCATAGCGTGACGAAATCGACGTACTGTGAAGGCATACTGACGGATGATGATGGGTACAGTATACACATCTTCGAAACAGGTTAATGAGTAATTGCTGTGACTCACAGGGTTATGGATTGAAATTCTAGAGAACCGGGAGGGCAGGAAAGTATACAAGTAGACGGGGCTTTTTTTTTTTTTGCCCCTAGAAAAACAAGGTGTCGGTACTTACTAAATGGTGTCTAATAAATGGCACCGGTAAGCACCACTAAGTGGCTATTGCTGTAGTCCTGGAAAAAAAAATATGCCTTAAAAAAGGTGGGGGTGGAAAAGGGGCCCGGGGGGGGGGGGGGGGCGTATCGCGTATGGAGCAAATAAACACTCAATATAGCTATAAATGTTTGTCTGAAGAAAATGCACATGCGATTGTATTGAGACTTTATCAATAAACAAAAACTAGAAGAACACTCAGACGTAACAGACATATGTGAGCATTTGTGTGGTTTTGTGCCTAGATAAAGATTTTTGTCGAAACATTCGCATGCTTTCGGCGTATCTTTCTTTTTGTAGATCATTACAGATGAGCTGTGTTTGTTTATTTATAGGGTGTTTCAAAAGTAGTGCTTTCACACTTCTACAAATATCTCGAAATCTCCGATACGAATCGACATGATTTTTCGCGTGTGACCCTAGATTTCCCATGTCCTTATGATTTTATATTATTTACCAATTGTACAGATGCTGCTGTTTTTTTAAAGCGGCAATTCCTTTGACCGTTATTTGACTGATTATTTATTTATTCTTAAAAGGAAAAAGCATAGAATGTACAGTAATTGACACATGTGCGTAGATTGTTTAGAAAATCGTTCACAGGTACAGAAATGTTTTTTTTTTTTTTTGATAGCCTATTCCTCCATACGATGGAACACTTTGTTTATCTAATTTACGGAAGGTTAATGGAGGCGATGACGATCTGAGAGGGAAACGCCTATCAAACGCGCGCAATTTACTGTTATGGAAACTTTCCTTACTCACGTAACTGTAGGCTTGCTGCTTATGTGGTATGAATCGGTGTAAATGTGTTTTTTTTAATGTTTTTTTTTTACGAAGACGTGTTATTAACAGGTTGCATGCCTCACTTCGCTAAAGTTTGTCTCCCCACGGACCGCCCATATACACACTAGCACACTTCTGACTGGTAGATTTTGAACTTGTCACATTGGCACAAGTTTACCGGGTGTGTTCCGCAATGTCGTTGATATCCCGTGTGGTATATTTCAGCACGCCAGAGCTTTCAACACTCCACAAAGCATTGACAAACTTGGTCTAACACAACTCCCTTAGAGAGAGTGCTGCAACCTATGTCACATGCGTTCTCTTTCTCGGAATAAAAACGTAAATGCAAGACAACCCAGAAAGCAAACAACAGAGCGGCACATCCGTAACCTGCACGAAAGTAGACCAATCTAACAAACTTGTGAATAAAACTTGACCTACTTTGTTTGGGGAGACTAACTGAAACCTAACCCTGACTTCAACAACTTACACCGAACTGTTACTGAATTACAGGTTTTTGAAGTTAGGCACGACATCTGCAACGGACTATAGTATTCGCATCACCTCGACAGCAGTCTGTCTGCCTCTGTCTCTCCCCCTCCCTCTCGTTTCGGCTCTTTATCATATCCCTATCAGCTCTTCCCTTTCTCTTTCTCTCTCGCCTCTCTCCCTTTATAGCTTCCTCTCACATTACCCTTCTCAATTTCTCTTCTCCTCTCTCTCGTTCCCTTCTCCCCTGCCTCTCTCGGGCCCCTTTCTTGCTCCATATGTCTGCTCTCTCTCTCTCTCTCTCTCTCTCTCTCTCTCTCTCTCTCTCTCTCACCCATGCCTCCCTAATATAAGTAACCTATTGAAAACGCATCTGTCCCGCTCTAATTAATCCCCCGCGCGGAAACCAATTGGCATCGACGCTCAAATACTCCCGATTTTCCCATTCCCCCGGGACTATTTGCGCAAGGCGGATGAATCCCCTCAAGCCACCAAATTCAATTGGATAGATCGTCACCCAGTATTTACTAACTTTTCAGATTGCACACGTTTTTACCCAGTCCCTCTGTTTGCTTCCTTCTTCGTCTCCCTCTGCGACATCTCGCCAATTAAAGGTCGACAAACAAAGCTTAGTCTCTAGGCTAAGCTCGGAATGTAACTCCATTACAGGTGTACAGTTTGCACGGCGGCGTGTTTCATTCTAAAAGACCTTCTGTTACAACAAACTAAATTACCTTGGGTACAACGTCCGGCTTACAATTGACACGTACTTGGGCGACATTCGAAAATCTTTCACCAACTAAACAAGTTAACTAGGGATATAGAACGGCGGGTGTTTTCTTACCCCACTAATGTCCCTGCCCAAGTGAAGATGGCGTCAGCGATCACGTGATAAGGTTGCCATGAAAACAAAAGTAACCTGTGAGGCCATATCTTTGGGTTAGCAGTAATGAATGGCTAATTCAAAATGAAGACGCAGTGATGCATTTCTGGTGTGAAGATCTCAGGATTTTCAAAGTATTGCCTGGGTTATTATGCAGTCATTATTATTATTGTTTTTATTATTATTATTTTTATTATTCACAAGAAGTTCAGTTCATTTGTCTTCTTAATCGTAGTCTTCTTCTTCTTCTTCGGTTTTTTCGCGCTTTTTCACTCATCTCGGCTCCGAGATTTTGTAAGGAATTCGTAGGGAGTTCCACGAACAGTCCTATATTACGGTGGAAAGGGGGGGGGGAGGGAGTTAGGATTAGGGCTGGTGTTCATCATCATCATGTGCCCTGTCTACTGGCGTAGACGCTCATGCGTCTCCACAGATCACGATCCCTGGTTGCCTGGAACAGCTCTCTTGATGATATCCCTCGATGCCATCGTTTTAGCCCATCCAGCATCATCTCTCTAGGTCTGCCTCTGCCCCCTTTTCCCACTGATCTTTCCAGTCGTCACAATGTTCTCCACCGGGCTAGTGTTAGTCGGTGTTTATTTACCACTAACCCTAAGCCACACAAACTCCTATACTCGATGGTTGTTTTCCTTCCTGTATAAAGTCTCCATTTCCAGTGTGTGTTACCTTTGTTCGCTCGTCGTCATCACTGTGCCAATTGCACGAGAGAACCAACTTCGGCAGCCCTGCTTCCGGGTGCATGTTGGCTAACAGCTACTATGATTACATCTGTCCCACCTTTTAATGCCGTGGTGTAGGCTAGACAAGATTGGGAGGACACGGGGAGAGCTCTATGCAATGGCGAAGGATAGAACGACTTGGCGTGAGTTGGTTGGGGGCCTATGCTCCATTGGGGGATAGAAAGGCAGAAGAAGAAGAAGAAGAAGTAGGCTAGACCCTCACTTGCAATCGGAAGGTCGTGGGTTCGGGTCTTGACGGTACCAGACCTTTTTTAAAAATGACCTTGACTTCCATGTCGACGCAGCCTTGAATAGGCACCAGGTGGAATCCTGGGAAGTAAAAGTGGCCGGCGTGATGTTGACCACATCAACGACCAAGTGCCGATTGGTCTATGAAATATAAGTCTAGCCCTTTATGCCCAATATGCTTGAAGGCGCTGATAAGTTTCCTATACTTTACTTGCTTACGTCTATCAATACGCTTTTCAGAGAGCCGCGTTAGCGCAGTCGATAGGAGACTCGCTTTCAAATCCAGATGCGACTCGCTGCAGCCC